GCGCCTTCATCTTTTCATATCGCTCAAATATATCATAAACATCATCACGACAGTGACAAAATGTTGGGTATTTCCTGATACTAATGTCACGATATTCTTCCCTTGATAGGTAGTCTACCTTAGTATCCGTGCCCTACATATTATTTTTTGAACAAAAACTTAATTTAAATCAAAATTTCTATAGAGATAGTTAGTTTATAGTTGCATACCTTGATAATAGAGAACTCAGAGTAGACCAGCTCGCAATCCATCTTTTTTCTATAATAATCACCGAAATGAAGCCAATACTTATTTATAAACAAATCGTAGTCTACATAGGAAGCCCACAAAGAGTTTGACATTTTTGCAAAGGGAGACCTAAAATGCAATTCTTCCTCGTCGTCATAATCAACATTGAGCTTTGGTTTTTGTTTTGTGGTCAACATTCGAACGTCAATACCATAGGTTCCTAGAAGCATTTCTGAAAACTTTTCACAAGTAATAAATAATGGGAAATGCTCGTCCGTTAACAGACGAAACGAATTCGGAATTTCACTCAGGATTTTCTTCACATCGTCCTCCTCCTGCATGTTATTGTCATCGAGTTCCTTACTACTACTGTATTCTCTCTTCAAAGCAATAAACTGAGCCTTCGAAATCTTCTCACCAGCAAACTTCGCCGTTTTTTGCAACTGGTTGAAATATTTCCTTACTCGCAAGCACAGAATGGGGTTCAATGTAATAAAGATTTGTCTTTTGTAAGGATATACGTTATCACTATGTGAAGATGGTGTCTTGTAAAGTTGGCTTTTTAGATATGAAACGAGCAACCTAAATACGATACATGTAGTCTTGCCGGTCCCTAAATATTGATATTTAGAATAAAATCAACAACGACAGCTTTTCCTTGTAAAAATGTCTGAAACGAGATTACTAACCCGATCGACCAAATACGACCGCCGACGAAGGATTGTTAATTATCTCGTATTCAGTCTTGGATACTAGGAAGGTGAAGTCAGAACCACTCAGGATGAGCGACTTGAACAAATCCTGCGAATAAAGTTCTTAATTAGTTTCGTTGAATAGCTATTATGTATAACAGCAACCTTCAGCGTACTTTACCTTTGATACAGGAATAAATTTATTTGTAACAAACATTTGATGTACTTCTAATAATCTCTCATTGTCCAACTCTTCATTGGTGAACCTCATTCCTTCATCTTCAAAATATTCCGGTAAAACTACATTGTTTTTGCTTATCATTTGGATTGCGCATCGACGAATATGTTCGGAAGTGTAGACCTTATGGACTCTTTTAAGGGCTTGTAATGTTTTGTCAATCTTTTCTTGGCTTGCAGTGACAGCCCAAACTTTTACATGTTGCGTGAACGATTCTTTATAGATAGAGAATCCATAGTCAACTTGCCAGAGAATTTTCAGGTTGTTCCAGGGAGTTCCACTTCGTATACAGGGATAGCGTGAGTTGACGCCCTACGTTGAAGATCATGCTTTTTCCACGCCCCGGATGATATCTGCCTAAGTTTTTTCATGACTGTTTCGATAGAAAGAGGTAAATCTATTTGCATATCATTGAAGTCTTCATTATACAGCATTTCCCGTATGTCTTTGATGGTGTTTTCGCTAAGTAGAATTTCCCACGGTCCAAGTCTGTTTGTCTCATTGATTTCAAATGGAAGGTGAAAATGACGTCCCGGTATCTTACTTTTGACATCTGTTGGCTCTCTTTCCTTCATATCTTATTGTTTGCTATTTAATTTGTTTATATACTTTTTTTTTGAACTATTTAAATAGCGAAATAATTGTGAGTAATCTACTATCAAAAAATCTTGAAACAAAAAATTTAAGGGACACTAATTTCGCATAATGAATATGTTTCTGTCGAATTCGTAAATTTAGCGGCGTTACATTTAGCAAATTTAGGTTAGTCAAGGAAAATTTGGTTCGCTTTAATGAAGGAGAATAATATTTATTATTGTCCGAGATTTGAATGCTTACTCATTTAATGATGATCGAATGATGCGTTATATTTCAAGTTCAAGTTTAATTTTTTTTTGAATGAACATTGATTATTTAATGCATTGGCGTTAAATCTTCTGCCTGCTTATCTAAAATTTTTCATAATTAATGAAAAATCGATCATACATATTGGTTTTTTTGGACTTCAAAATAGATTTTTATCATGAAGATGATTTGATTAAAAAATTTTATTTAAAAATTTCATGAGATTACTGCGGTTGTTTTGATTATTTTGGTAATTTTTTATCGCTTTACGTTCTGTTTGTCCTAATTTGGTTTAGGGTGCATAATGATAAATAACTTTGTAATTACGTATATATAATACTTATAAAATAATAAAAACTAATATTTTAAATAAAGATGAATTAAATTATTAATTTTTCAAACAATTTTTAAAATAAATATATTTACTAAAATTTTCTTATTTAAATCTACCTTTGAACTTTTAGATACATAGTTAAAACAAACTTTCCATCTTCTGTGTAACAATTGGAGATTAGGTAGATCCTGGGTATAGCTTTCATCTTTAATTTTGATATTAAAAATATGCTTTTTTAACTTCGATCACCAGATCAAAAATAAATTACTTATTGTTGCGGTCTACGGTACAAAATCACAAAATCAGGCGATTAAATATAAATTAATTAATTGACTTTTGGAATCTATATTAAAAAAAAGTTATCATTCTAATAAAACACGCAGTGGAAGAAGAAAAAAAAAAACTAAAAATTTATAACGCAGTAAATCAGTCCGTATGATTTCTTTCATTTTTATCTTAAGTAATTTGAATATTATAACGTCAAATTTTTCTTTACTGAATTATATAAGCGCAAGAAGAAAGAAAAGTGAGAATTTATTTTATTTCAGATTTGTTTGTTTTATTTTTTTCAACAATTTTATTATTTCTAATTCAAAATTCTTTTATAACGATCTTCGAAAAAAACAATGCTTACAACCAAATAATTTTTTTTCTAAAAAAAATGATGCAAACAACCATGAAAATGAAACTCGAGTCGATATATTAAATGCCTTAGATAACTATGGTTCTTACTGCAAAAAAACCGCTTGCAGAGATCATGTAGTAGTATATTATTGAAGGATAGACTAGTGGAAATACTAATAGATATAAAGAAACTAGTAGGAGAATTTTCCAAAATGTATTCTGCAACATGGACCAATGGTAAATCGAAATTTGAAAAGCTAAAAGTTCCTAAGCCTCTGAAGGTTGCTTTGAAAAGGTTAAATGAATATGTCAGCTAGATATTTTAATGAGGTATTTTACGCATTTTATGGGATGATAAAATTATTACATTATCCGTTGGGATCGCAAAATTTGGATGATCGAATTTATGAAATATTGCCTTTAGAAATCTTGAATGGCGGATTATGTACTTTAGGTGAATTTCCAGATTACTAAGAATGTTTATTTATTGTGATTTATTTAAACGTCATTTTTTTATCACGAGCTACCCATGTCACAGAGATTACGGCGTGAGCCGTGTTTTTACGAAAATTTTGATAGGATTAAAGTATTTAATGAAATTGGTCTTTAAAGACATATAATATAAGTGGTTATCCTCCTTTTGGCTTAATATTTTAAAACTTTAGAAAAAAACATGAATCGAAATGTGACTTACGATTTATTAATTAAAATTTTGAAACAGTATCGGTAATGACTAAATGAATTTGATTTTCTATTTTTTGCTCTTTCGAATTTTTTAAATTCTAATTTTAAACTTTGTTAATCTAAGATTTGATTGTTTTAAATCTATTGACATATTCGGATTTTAAATCAATATTGTTAAATAATCCTTTAATTTGTTGTTGATGGATAACTATATAATAAAATCTAGTTTTTACAAATTCATAAAGATGAAGATATAAATATAAAAAAGGGTTTAAAAAGAAAATACTTCAAATTCTTTTTAAAATTCTTCATTATGTAAAAGAAAGTTACTTAGTCCAAAATCAATTACATTTGAATTGCTAAAATCTTCTTCTAATTCTTTTGAATAATTAATTTCAATATCTGTTGGTTGTATTTAAAAACAACATGAAGTAAACTTTGTGCAAATAATTGGGCTGAATTTTCTTCTAATCAGCAAATTGATAAAAGCAAGGGATATCATAAAAGCATCCATTTTCGAAAAACTCAACAGCATTTATCAAGCCACTTATTAAGTTATCAAATAATTGATCAAATTTATTAATATCAAATATTTCTAATACCTCAAATAATTTATCAACAAAAAATCTTTAAATTATTACAAATATCCTTTAAATAAATGTACTACACCTTTACTTTATCTGGCATTTCATATGTATAAAAACCAGGTAAAAGATTTTAAATCTTATTATTAAGAATTCTAAATATTATATAGCAAAAAATTGAAATAAAAATTTATAAAAATGTTTCTATTTTTTATAAACCATTATGCAAGTTAAATATATGCATTATAATGTATTAAATACTATCTAGCAGTTTTTAATTCATAATTCTATTTAAAGAAATTGTAATAACTAATTGTAACTAGTAATAAATAAGCATCGCATGATTGTAACTAGTTGTAACATCATTAAAAATTGAGCTGCAATTAGATATAATTGATAACAAATAAGCATTATAGGATTATATCTAATTACTGCATAATCTTTAATCTATCATATTCAGGTAGTAGTTAATATTTATTAAATTTATATCTTAAATAAAGTTTTATATAAATTATTAATTCTTTCTAAACAAATTCCTAATTATAACAAATGATGATACTTTTGAAAATCATCAATTTGAAGAAGTTAATAAAGATGATAAATCTGATATTATAAATTTTTTATTATTTATTATTTTTATTTATTATTTTTTATGTTTTTGAATGATTTCAGAAGATTTTAGGAGAAAATAGATCATATTTAATTAGTATATTATTATTTTGCATAGTTTTTTTATTATTTGCTTATATTTTATTAATAAAAATTTAATTAATAAGTTTTAATAATATTTTATTATATTTCTTTTTTGCAAATTTATATTAGATTTATATAATTAATAAAATTTTAATATTTAATAAATTTAATAAATAAAAATATAATGATTTTATATACTTATTTAACTGAATTTATGCTGAATTAAAACTTATTTTAGGCTAATTTATAATTATTTAAATTTTAAATTATATTGAATTAATGCTAAATTAAGGCCAATTTACGATTTTTTATGATTATTTAAGTTCTAAATTAATGCTGTATTGCTTATTAAATTAGAACTGATTTATAGTGAATTACTTATCTGAATAAAATCAATCAGTAATAATTTAGAAATCAAAAAATAATCAGAAAATATGATCAATTAGCTATAAATAATATCAAAATCTACCTAAAATCAGTCATTTAATTTTTAGATAATTTGAATTATTTTAACAAGTGATATAATATTATATATGTAGTAAAATAAATTATATTTACAAATTTATTATTATTACTAATTATTATTTGTTTTACTTTTGATATAATTTTTAATAATATATTTATTATTGAAGTATAAAACTTGATTCATAAACTTAAATAAGTAATCTTAAAATTTTTGCAGTTTTTTTAATTGCTAATAATATTTATATTACAAATTACACTAATAATAGCTAAGTAAAACAAACTAACTATAAGCTAAATATGTAATAAATTATATTAATTAATTATTAATAAACCAAAATTACTTATTAACAATAAAATATTTAAATATTATTTAAAGTAATAAAGTATCTACACAAGAAATAGATAAATAAATTTATTTAAAAATAAATATGTTTAAAATTAAAATAAAGCTTTAAATTTGACCTGATAGATCAAATAATCTTATAAGTTGACTTGAAAAATTTAGGTTAGTTTAAGTGAAGTATCCAACTTAACTTAACCTAAATTTTTTAATTAATAGATTCAAAATTTAATATCTTCATCAATATCAATTTGTTTAAGTTAAAATAACTTTAATTTTAATTCTTCTTATAAAATAGCTACCATTTAATTTATTATATTAAGATAAATTTAATGAACTATAAAATATTATTTATTAATTACTAAATACTAAAATATTTTCAAAAAACTGATTTTTCAATTTTTTTAATGTAATTATTAATTTAACTTAACCCAATACTTCAGATTAAATCAAGTTAATTAATGATTAACCTAATCTATTTAAAGTTCTTGATAAAAAAATAGAAAAATAAAACAAAAATAATACAATAATTTGCTAGTATATTTAACTGAAAAAAAATTATTAAGAATAAAGGAGTTAGTTTAATTTATCTTAATAGATTTAATTATTCATAATCTTATTAAAATAAAAATCTTTTGCAAAAATCTTTTAAAGATAGTAAAAATTTGTTTAATAGTAATATTGTAACTAGTGTTAATCACAAATTGTATTGCATCTCAAAAGATTTCATATTATAGTAAAAATCATAAAAGTAATAAATGTATAATATATTAAATATATAATATATATAATATATGTGATACTTAAGTCACTTATATAATATGTATTAAACAATTTACTTTTTATTAATAAAAATATTCTTGTTATAGCAAATTAGCCAATCAAATCTCTTAAAATCTTCATTATAACCTTATAGCGAAGTTGAGGTCTAAAATATAGAGTTCATTATAATAAGAGTTGATTATACATATATCATTTATTATTATCACAAAATTTAATAATACTAATTAGTAATTTTATATAAATAGATTTATAAGTTAATTTTGAGTCAACAGAGTTTTTTTTGGAGAGTTTGATCAAATAATTTTCTGAATAAATCTTAAGACTAAATTTATAATTCTATAGATTAATAAAGTTACTATTTAATCATCTTCTTATCTTTATTATAAGATTAATCATAATAATTTATTATACAAATAAATTATAATAGCAAATTATTTATTTGATAATTATTAATTTCTCTTAAGTAAGATCTTTAAGATAATTGAAATTTTAAGATATCTAATTTGTTAGCTTAATTTCAATATAATTTTAGATCTCATACTAATGTATATTCTGATGCACAAACAAATGCTAATATAAAAATATAATATTATTTTATTAAATAAATGTATATATAATTTCAGAAATTATGATAAATCTGATTTATTTATATTATAGTTATAAAAAAAAATTATTATATACATATATCGATATTTATTAAAAATAATATTGACTTAGAGTTTAGACTTGAGTTAAAAAGTTAATTCAAATTAAAGTTAAGAAGAAATTTTGATTTTTAAATATTTGAATTAGAATTCGAGTTAGAAACTCAAGTCAAATTTGAATTAAAGTTATAATACAAACTGAAAAAATACAACATAAGTTAAAATTTTGTGATATTTTTAAATTGAACTAAAAAAAATATTTTTAAAAAAATTTTATTTAATGATTATATAATAAATTTCATTTATTAGCATAATATTTTTAATATTTAAGAAAAAATTACATGCTATTTATAAATATAGCATAAATTTAAAGTTGATTCAAGTAGATTTAACTCAAATTAACTTGAATTCTAATTAAAATCAAGAAAAATTTGTCTTATATTTATTTAACTTAAGTTAACTTGAGTTAAATTTTAATTTAAGTCTAGTTTTTACATTAACTTTATTCTAATGGTAAAAATGCTTTCTAGTTAAATTATTACATCTATTTATAATAAAAAATAAATTTTTTTAGAATAAATCAAATATAAAAATACTTGAAGATCTTATCAATATAATGCAGCAAGGACTTAATTTGCTTAAAGAATAATCAAGAAATATTCTTTGGGCTAAAAGCATTGAATGAAATTTTAAAAAAATTAAGACTATAGTATATGAAGTAAATTAAATGTTAGAGAATAATTTCCATAAACTTAATACTCATTATCTGAAATAAATAGCATAATTAGTTTTAATTTATTTATTAGTATATATTTTATGGTTAAAGCTTATAAATACTAATAAAATGTTTATAACTACTACTCTCAATACTATAGTTTTGGAATTCAAAATAGAAATTAATAAAATAATTTTTAAATATATATTCTAGAGTTTATTAATTTGTTTAAAAATACTGAAAAATATAATAGATAATAAAAAGTTATAGGTTTTTTTTAAATTTATAATAAAATGTTCGCAAAATATTTTGTTTTCTTTTTTTCTTAAATACTTAAAGTATTTTATTTAATAGTCATATGGTTTCAAAAATAAAATTTAGTAAAAATTCTATGTAAATATGCTATTTAAATAAGTCTAAAAAAAATAAAAATAAAAATACTAAATTTTTCGTATATTAGATTGCAACCAATTATATTTGTTTATCCTGTGATTGATCAGGATATATTCTTTATATTGGTAATATCTTCCCCTGATAAACCACTTTAGGCTCAAGGGTTGAAGAGTCAACAAATTCATAATACATATCATCTTCATTTATAATGGTATGTAAGAAACCCAACGCTCCTTCAGGCAAACCCCAATCAAATCCCTCACATTTTCCATCAGTTTTACTACCAGCTCCTGAAATGAAATACGTAACAGGTTGGCCAACCTTTGATGTTTCCAATTCTAAAACATGTTCATGTCCTGAAAAATATGCTGCCACACGATATTTTTCAAAAAGTGGTCGAAACCTTCCCATTTGAAATTTCTGAGCACATTTACCAATAAGAGGTTGATGTCCTGGAATTAAACAAAATAAATTTGTCATATAATCTATGAGAGGAGAAAATTCAAAACAACTTATTACCTACCGACGACGAAAATCCATTTGAACTCTGTTGTTCAATCAACCGATCTTCAATCCATTTGAATTTATCTTCAATTGCTTGTAAACTTTGCCATCCAAATTTTTCAAAGTTATATTTCATACCCGAACGTTCAGCATCTTCACGATCTGCAAAATCATAATAAAAGATATTTGTATCGATATGGATCCATGCAACTTTTGTTTTATTTGGACCAAAATATGATTCACGAACAAAATATGCAGATGGGAAGAAGTATCGAGAGTCAAAATTCAAGCTATAATCAATCTGAGCTGTAATATTGCCGTACCTAAATAAATAAATTTTCGTGAGTTTTATTTTATCGAGTTTGATCTCCAATACTTACTTACCAGTCATGATTTCCGGCTACATTGTACCAAGGAATCTTGGCTAATCTTCCTTGATATGCATTCTTCCAGACCTTTTCCCATTTTGTATCATATACGCTTGAAACACCTTCATGATCTCCAACAAAATTAATATAAAAATTATCTGTAAAAAAAAAAAAAAAAAAAAAATGAGATATTTAATTTTTAAGTATCTAATGATCAATAATCCTCAATAATACTAACCTCCAACGCTTAAAACAAAATTACTATGATATTGTTCACTCCACTTTGCCATGGCTTTGGCAACTTTATTTTGATTTCCTACCTCCTGTCCCACTTCAACTCCTGCAAAGCCCCAATCACCAAAAGTTAAAAAACTTAATTCTTTGGATTCATAATTTTCCACAAAAGGTTTGTCTATAGGTTCAACCAAGTCATGTTGATAAGCATTCGTATTGTTTAATAAAGCGCATGAAATAGCAATAATCACATATAAATATTTCATTTTTTTTTTATTTCTCGCGATTTTTTTTTTTTAGCATTCAACTGATAAAGAAAAAGCCATTATGAAAAAATGGACGACTTATTTATTCAATAAATTCAATTAAAAATATTTTCTATTTTGAGCTGTTGTACAACTGAATTCCAACGCAGTGAAACAAAATTAAATATTTTCAAATTCTTTATTTTTTCTGTGTAAGAGGAATTAGGACCGGAAGGTTTGCGTGCATGCAAACAACTCCTTCCATGGATTAAGTTCATAATTAATACAAACCTTTAAAGAAAATTTTGATTCGTTATAAAAACGTTTTAAAAAGAAATGTATATAGTAATAGGCAATGATGTTCATTGACATCATTACTATGATAATGGCGCATACAATCCATACTATTAATGCATGTCTCCAATATAGCTAATAGAGAACCTTTTTCATTAGGGAAACTAAACAGAGAGAGAAACTTTTTATAATCACGGTATTAGCAAAAATAACGCTTTGTGGTACTTCTTCTAGATATTATTTATGATTATTATTTAATTTATTCAAATGTCGCTCTAATTAATAACCGCAGTAAAAAATTTTATTTCATTGGGCATTTCTAATTTCATATGTTGAGATTTAGCAATGGTCATTTTGAGTATTTATATAATTAATATGAATTGTTAAGGATTTACAATAGCTCTTCATTTGCATCTAAATGTATAAAATTTATCTATAGTGGATAGTGGATTCAATTCATAATCAAAAAAATTCGATACAATGAATTACTTGACTTGATATGTCAATAAAAAAAATTAAACATGGTAGAATTTAGATCATCTAATTTCACAAATGGCAAGGGAAATATCTTTGTAATTATTGTTGCTTCAATTATTTTTTAAATGCGATGTACAGTATTTCGAAAGATTACTTTTATTTTATTTTATTTATTTATTTTAATTTGGAAAAAAAGATTACAAATAAGAAAAAGATGCACGTAGATTATAGTTAATTCCGACTAAAATATTGATCCTTTAGATTAAAGAATATTTTAATCGAATTATCATATTTCAAATTTTTTGCAATAAAAAATTCGAATATTCATAAAATCCCAAAGGTCTCTCATAATTAAAAAACAAAATGCTAAATATGATATACGGCAAATATCGAAATGTTTGGACAGGTTCAAATATTTAACCCAATGTCGGTGTCAGTTTATATATTATTGATTTTATTTGTCCGCCGTCTTATCTTCTGCGCCTAATTCTTTGTCGATCATCCTTGACTTTCTGTATGATCGAAGAATTTTAGCTAGAGGTATTTGGTAGGCAGCAATAGATGTTAAAGATTTAATTCGTTAAATCTCGAATTACGGTAAATTTATCAAGATTAATGATCCTATTAGAAATTCATTTAATAATTCCCTTTTTCTCATCTCAAAAATTCATTTTACAAGTGACAGAAAATCATTTTATGTTAAAAGAAAATTAGAACAGTAATTAAATAAATAGATAATACGAAAAGTAAATGTATAATTAAACTATGATAAAGTAGATTAAAAGAATATAAGCCACATAAGTCATTTCTGCGACTAAATCCTTCTTTCCAAAGACGTAAGATTTATTTGTTTTGCTAATTCAATTGACAAAATTTGTAAATGTTTACAAGTTTGGGATAACTTGTAAAATAACTGAGCTATTATTCCTTTTTCTTCTAGGATAAGGCGGTAAATGCAATATATTTATAGTATTGTGCTACAATGAAATTTTTTAATTTTAATTAAATGTTTGGAGTTTTTCTTTAATAGGAAGAGAAGAAAATTAAAGTATTAATTAAAATTTTGTCTAAATTCGAAAGCTTCTAAATAAACACATAAAAATAAAACAAAAAAGAACTAAATATTCATTTAAAGAATCAGCAAGGAGTTCTTGAGTCTTTTTTTTTTTAAAAAAAAAAACTTGTATAGAAATTATGTTACACAGAGCAATAGAAAAATAGCATGATCTACACAAAAATAATGGCGGTTAGTACATGGTAATAAAGTCTTTTTTTGAGTTTAACCCAAGAATACAGATATCTAGATATCTCTACAAATTATTCAGATATATGCAACGTCCATAAAAATCCGGATATAAACAAATGAGTTTTAAACCTTTATTTTTTTATAAAAATAAAACGTCGCAAAACTGCGTCACAATGTTTTATAAAATCGCCAACAAAATATATATCAAATAAAAAGTCGTTCTATAAAATCTTCAATGTTTTATACTGTATAACGTGTTGCAAAAATTTGGTTTAACGAAATGTTTCAAATTTTATACAACATTAACTTTTTATTAATATAATCGTAATCCCACTACATTAACCATCTCTTGTTTGATTTTCAAATGTTATAATTTGAGGCGGTGATTTATTACAATATTGAAAAGTATGCAAAGGCTGTTTGATTTAACTTGTCAATTGTCAATTTCATGAATTTTATACCTATATCATGTGAAAAAGATTTAACGACAGTATTTGAAATTCGCTAAAAAAGAACCCAAGATTTAACTTATACAGTATATCATATACGTCACGCAGATCATTTTCATATAAAACTAGGGAACGGGAACCGTTGTGCATCTGAAGCGTTAATTTATATTGCTTAAATGTATAACAGAAAAGGTCTGATTTTTTTATATAAAACTAATTTGTTAACACGACATAACGTGAAGAAAAATTTCGTCATATAAAATACAACTGAGTAAAAGACACGTGTTTATGGTACACCTGATCTTAATTTTTGATTGGTTAATTCTGTGACGGACAGACGGACATTGCGTGGTTTTGACTGCAACAGAAGTGTCCTACGCTATCGGACAAAAATTTTGTGTAACTATAATTGAGTTATTTTTACTCTATAGTTAACTATCCCAAATCTTACACATACACTCATATTAATTAAGAAAATGATAGATTTCATGTGTTTAATTAATTCTAATCATTGGTTTTCTTTTTTAGCTGATTACTTTTTTTTTTTACATTTACACAAAATTTCGTTTTTTATTTTTTTTATATATGCATTAACCTTTGGAGGAAGGCTGTTACTGTGAGTCAAGATTAAACCTACAGATCTTAACTCATCACAGGAGCAATCTCCTGAGGTCTCACCGCTAATTAAGGGTAAGTGAAATCATGTTATATATACATCTACCAGAGGGTTGCCATTTTAGATATAGTCTACTTCACCTGAATTTGATCTCAGAATCCGTTTAAATAAACCCCCTTTTGGACTTTCACATATCAAATTGGAATAGAGGGCTCACTTTAACCACAATCACTGTTTTTACCAATCTAATTTATAAGGTTTTATCCTATTAATAACTTTTGAGACCGTTGTTAAGCCTAAACACTACATCATTAGGATAACAAAGCTTATTTGCTAACAGGGAGTTTAAATGGTAAACTATGAAAGAAATAAACACGAATTTATT